CCTCCTCAGCGCGTATGCGTGCTGCAGCAGCTGCGGCTCCAGCTGCTGCAGCTGCTGCAGCGCAGCAGCAGCAGACCTCGACGCTTCGTCTTCCTGCTGCTGCTGCTGCTGCGCTGCCTCTGCTGCAGCTCCAGCAGCAGCAGCAAACGACGTCCCGCCGCCGCTCCCCGCGCCGTCCGCAGCAGCAGCAGCGCCTCCACCGCCACCCCCAGCAGCAGCAGCAGCAGCAGCAGCAGCAGCAGCAGGAATGGTGGATTTGATTTTTGCTGCTAAGGCCCCCCGAGTCAGCCGCAGCACATCTTCCAGCAGCCGCCGCTCCGTCAGCAAATGGGCCACATCCCGCAGCTGCTCCTCGCGGACCTAAAAATAAACAAATAAATAAATAAATAAATAAATAAATAAATAATTAAATTAACAAATAAATAAATAATAATTGGAAATTATAAACTCCCTGGAGGCAGCTGCTCGGGAAGGTCTGAGTTGCTGCTGCGCAGCCTGCGTGGGAGCAGCAGCAGCAGCAGCAGCAGCAGGACGTGAAGCAGCAGCAGCAGCAACAGCAGCAAGGGAAGCAGCAGCTTAAACAGCAGCAGGTGCAGCAGCCGCCCTGAGCTGCAGAGCAGCAGCAATAACAATTGCAGGAGGAACTCAAGCAGCAGCAGCAGCAGCAGCAGCTCCCGGAAGCAGCAACAGGTCAAACCAAAGCAGGAACCGCAGCAGCAGCAGCAGCAGCTCAAACCCCAGCAGCAGCAGCAGCAGCAGCAGCAGCTGACAATCTGGACGTCTGCTGCTTGCAGCTCGTAGATTTTCTCTCTAAGAACTTGCATGCGTTTAAATACTTCCCCATCACACAGCAAATGATTTGTGCTGCCATCTGCTGCTGCTGCTTTTGCTGCTTCTTCTGCTGCTTCTGCTGCTGCAGCTGCTGCAGCCGCCTCAGCAGCTTCCTCATCAGCTGCAGCAGCAGCAGCAGCAGCTGTCGCTGCTTCTGCTTCTCTCGCAGCTGCGTTTGCTGCTGCTGCTGCGTTTGCTGCTGCTGCTTCACCTGCTGCTGTTGCTGCTGGTTCACTTGCTGCTGCCGTCTCGTGTTCTGCTGCTGCTTCACTTGCTGCTGCCGTCTCATTTACTGCTGCTGCTGCTGCTGCTATTCCACCTGATGCTTCCGCTGCACCGCCGGCCACCTCAGCATTGCGGCCCGCAGCAGCAGCAGCAGCATCAGCAGCAGCAGCAGCGGGAGTAGCTGCTGCTAGATGGGACTCCAGCATGCAAGGCCCTGGGCCCCCGGGCCTCAACGCGAGCATGCCATGGCAACATTGCTGCTGCTGCTGCTGCTGCTGCTGCTGTTGCTGCTGCTTCAGCTGCAGCAGCAGCAGCAGCTGCTGCTGCTGCTGCCTCGCCTGCAGCGGTTGCTGCTGCAGCACGGGGGAAACGAAACCCCACTTGTGGCGCCGTGAGTTGAGGGCCCCCGCTTGCGGCGCTGAGCCCAGCAGCAGCAGCAGCAGCAGCAGCAGCGAGCCGTTCTGCTGCTGCTGCTGCCACATGGGAGCAGGGGCCCCCAGTTGGAGTGTCTGTACACCTGAGCAGCAAAAAGAATTTCCTCTTGCTGCTTCTTTCGCCTCAGTTTTATCTTTACTAGAGATTTTAACTCGAGGCCATGTAGGGTTTAGGGTTTAGGGTTTAAGGTTTAGGGTCTGCTCAAGGGCTGCGGCCGACACAGCTGCAAACCCTAAACCCTACTTAAACCCTAAACCCCAAGCCTTCAATGTCAAAACCATCAATAATAATTCAAATTAAACACTTGAGCTGTAAATACACTGCCAGCGTAAACCCTCAACCCTAAACCCTAAACCCTAAACCCTCCACGACAGGTCTTCAGGGCGCCCCTGCATCGAGGCCTTCTTCACACTTGAGCGCTAAGCCCGAAACCCTAAACCCTAAACCCTAAACCCTCATTTTAGGGTTTATAATCCTCTCTGCTTTATTTGTTGCCGATTTGAAGATGCGTTCAAAGCTGGGGGGGAATGTAGCGGCCCCACAAACCCTAAACCCTAAACCCTAAGCCCTGGAGCCTAAACCCTAAACCCTGGACCCCAGGCTCTATACCCTAAACCCTAGAAACAAAGCCCTAGACCTTAGATCTTAAACCAAAGACCCTAAACCCTAAACCCTAAACCCTAAACCCTAAACCCTAAGGTTGACATTTGAGTGATGAGAGTTCCGGCCCAGTTTGCGGGCGTTTCAAAGTTCAGTCCGAGGGCCTTTAAACCCCAATCCCTAAACCCCAAACCCTAAACCCTAAACCCTAAACCCTAAATGGCCAGTAGGGCGTCCACGAGGGCCTCGGTGCGGGCTAGCCTTCGAATTTGCTCCAACTCGAAGGCCACTCGCTGCAGAAACAACAAACCCTAAACCCTAAACCCCAAACCCTAAACCCTAAACCCTAAACCCTCCGTTCAAAGCCCCGCCGCTCCTTTGGCGCGCAGCGACCTCTCAACCCCAAACCCTAAACCCCCAGCCCCAAACCCCAAACCCTAACCCCAAACCCTAAACCCCAAACCCTAAACCCTAAACCCTCGCACCTGGCAAATCTTGGCGATGAGGGGTTTGAGTTCGCCGGCGGTTTGGGCGTGGGCCAGCAGCCACTGCTCTTTGGTGTTTAGCAGCGACTGCAGCAGCAGCAAGCAGCAGCGAGTTTGCTGCTGCCCCTTAAAGGCTATATTTGCTGCAGCAAACTGCAGCAGCAGCGCCACAGCTCCAAACCCTAAACCCCTCAAAGAGCTTTCCAGACCCCCGCGCTGAATCAGCTCCCCGCATAGCGCCAGCACGTGGTCCGGCCTGCCAAACCACAAACCCTAAACCCTAAACCCTAAACCCTAAACCCTGCTGGGCGCAGCAGCAGCAGCAGCTCGAGGGACCCCACAGGCTGCGCTTGCGGGCGAAGCCGCTTCTAGAGAGAGTCGCAAACTCCGCAGGCTAGGGTTTAGGGTTTAGGCGCAGTGCCTAGGGTTTAGGCGCAGTGCCTAGGGTTTAGGGTTTAGGGTTTAGGGTTTAGGGTTTACGAGGTCGTCAGCGCCAAGTCCATCGCCGCCATGTACTGAAAGCTCTTCAAGAGGCCGTCAAGCCGAGACAGCCGGCGGCTCTGCAGGCTGTCTACCTGCAGCAG